TATTATAAATTCATTGAAAAACCAAAGAAAAAATCGTGATTTTAAATAAGCATTCAAAACTAAATTTACTAATAAACTAATTATTACCAAAATAATAATTTTTAAACTGTTCAAAATCAAAATATTTAAATTTTTAATATTTAATTAACATTTATATATAAATGTCAATTATTGATCATAATAACATTACCAAAGGTTAATACTTGAGTTTAATAACAATTAATAACCTTATATGACATTAATAAACATTAATAAACATTGATAAGCAATTCAAAGTATGCAATTGTTGTTAATATATTCGTAAAAGTTGTAAAATGGTCAACGATGAGCAAACAAAGCAATAAGTATGCAATAAACGCATCTTTGATGTGCAAATTCACGATTTATTGATTTAATCCTTTGTTTAAATGTTAATTAAACGTGGTTTATTCATTGTCACTCTTAACAACATCTTAATAGCTATGTAATTAACAGATTTTTATTAATGATATTAAAACTACAATAAACATCAAATTACTGGTTTATTTTCCACGTAAATTTAATAAATATTTTTATATTGTATAGAGAATTTAATTTTCTTTAATTTTATGTATTACTTTATTAGATTTATGTATTTTTATCAGTAGTAATTTAATATTTTATGAAAACTTCATTTTTTTATTTTTTTGATATTAATTTGCAATTTTAAAGAAAACCATAATAAATATTGCTTTTCAGTGTATCAGAGTAGATGCAGAATTTTACTAGCTTTCCAATGATGTATAACACATTATGTAAATCTTACTAATACCCTCAATAATTAACAATTTAATAAATAATACTCATGAGTTGAAAAATCCGTGTATATTAAGTTGCATACATCATGACGACAAACTAAATATGCACAGAATATTACACTTATATAATTTAAATATTTATGCAGAAAATAACCACATTTAACAACAAAAAACGTATTGTTTATAAAGTAAAAAACCTCCTGTATTAGTTTTAACTCATTTTAATACAAATAAACTCAGTTTTAAAGCAGAATAATCTTTTAAAGTCTAAAACTGCATGAAATTGCATTGCGTCATCCTTCAACTTTTGCTTTCAATGTTTATATATTGTAACTTTTAACAGGATTGTGTCTCAAACTGCTTTCTGCCGCAATATAATCCATTGTAGTGCGTGTATAACCATTATGCTCAATGTGTTACAACTTACGATTTTTTCGTGCGAAATTCCTTTGTTTTCACACACATAAACCTGATAATAAGAATAATAACAATAACAACATTTCCAGCAAAATCCACATTTACAGCGCGTTGCACTACGCTTACTTCTCAAGGAATTCGATGACATGAAGTTGTAAGCATGTGCAGTTGTGGCTATAACTGGTTTATTTTCGATTTCAAGATGGCGGCTAAGTGGAGAGAAGGTTAATTACCATTAAGTAATAAGTAATAAGTAATCACAGTAATATGGCGCAAGTAGCGACGCATGTACATGTCATGTTGCTGCGTTTCGAACCGTTTCCAGTATTATTTTGTTGTTAAATTTAAATGCGGTGTTATTATAACGCACGCAAATCACATGTCAACCATTATGAATTAAAGTACGTCAATCCCACAGGAATAATTTCTGGTATTACTATAATTTGAAACGTTTACAAAGCAGAAAACACGCATTAAATATTATTTGAAAAAATATTTTTTATTTTTTATTTACGGCTAAATAAATAAATTTCTTAAATTTTTTAAAAGGCAGTATTATAAACAATAGTATTGAGCAGGTATTACAACAAAAATGGTTATTGTATCTCTTTTGGTTTAAAAGTTATTAACATTTTAAATTTTGTTTTGTCTAAAATTGCTTTTTTTTACTCTAAGCTTCCTCACGTCGTTATAAAACACATAAAATATTCTTCTTACTCATGTATAATCTCAAATAAATTATCTTTCGAATGACGTCGAAACCAATATCCTACATTAAAAAATACCAAAGTTATGACACCGTAAACATAGACAACCTCAAACACACAACCAAAAGATGTTAATAGGTCAGCAATGTAACGTGTACATAACCTTTAACAACCTAAATACTGTATATTTAACAACTTTAAATGTTTTCGACTTATTTTAGCTTAAATATTTTATACTCTGCATGGTAATAATTCAATATTTTAGCGCTTGAGCGCTCGTTTAAAATATAAAGTGAAGAAACACAAGAAGGCAGCCAGCGAGCAACCAAGCAAGCATGAAGAAACGAATAAAAGTCGGTCACACTTAATGACCGACGACATATTCAACCGTACAACTCACTACGACTAGGTAATAGTTATACCAAGTGAATTCAACTAGTATTCAGCAGAAATCTAAAGTTTTAACATTTTCAATTCAATGCGTGCAATCAGACGCAGTTTATTTGCAAGTGCAACGAAAATGTATTTTTAATCGAATGTAATGCAATGCAATTGCACTGAATCGACTTATACGTACTGGTATTATACAGGTTGACATAAATTACATTTTAAATTAGTAATAATCATTGATTATACATTATTTTTTACTTATATTTCTCGGTATTGAGCACAAAAAGTAAAAATTTAAAAAATTAACTTTGAGACGCTGTAAAATTGTTAATAATTGTTGTAATTGCATTCTGTAAAGTTCATTGGATTGCCTAGTTTATTTTTTATTATAAACCGTTTTGTTATCAATTATCAGAAATATATTATGGTCACAATTCGAGATTAAAGCAAAAAAATCGTTTTTTGTGCAATATCCACTTAAAACTCGTATAACTTTATTAATATTAAGAATAAATAATTAATTTTTACAAACTATAGTCTCTACAAAATTCTGCTTATAATGACGTTCCATTGAGCACTCTACAATAAGAAACACCAAAGTTATAACAAATTAAACTTCAGTATTAAAATTTTCAGATATAGTCAACTCTAATATGTTACACAGCGCCCTCTATACATCAATAGGTAAAATATTAACGTTTGTAGACTAAATAGCATAAATTTAAAAAAAGGCGGAGCTAATTTAATTGTTTTTGTTCCTAACCAACAAAGAAAATTTATTTATTGTGAAATTTCTTTGCTTCTAATATAATTAGTTTAAACAAGAAAGAAAAGACAATAAAACGCATCACCGCGCACTTTACTGATGCATAACACAATACACAAATTGCAAAACTGCAAATCATTTACGATTTTAGCCTATAATTTATTTATAATTAAATTAAATTAAGTTTCTAAAAGCAATAAATAATACAATAGCTAAACTTCAAGGATGCCATTCAAAATGCGTATTAATTCTTGCAGATGATTTGTGTAATTTGCAGTTCTGCAATCTTACTCATTGTGATTATTTGTGGTCATTTCTTGCGCATCTGAACACAAATTAAATCGTATTCGTTTTGTGTGCGCGTGCGCAATTTACTCACAAATAAATTGGATGTTGTTACAATGTTAATGTTAACTCTGTTAACTCTATAAATAAGCATGTTTTGTGTCGTGTTGGTTTGCGTTAATGCGTGTGGTAAGAATGAGGTGAAGAATAATGTGAAGCAATCAAGCAGAACAAACTTAAGCTACGAATGTAAGATGGTTGGTTTCTTATACAGATGTTGTTTTTGTATTCTAAAAGCAATTTTATAGTCCTTTTGCTTTTTATTTATTTTTTGCTTGAATATAAAAGTAGGTTAATGAAAGTGGTGCCATCTGTCGGCAAGTAGTAAAAGTTGAATATATATTTATAGTAGTATAATAGCTGATAGTGTGATATGCGGATCATAGATTTGTATTTTCATTAAAAAGTCAAGAAAAAACAACGTTAACGAACGTTTTTTTTTTTGTTAATTGTGCAATAACTCATAAACTAATAATGCTGTGGCCTTGAAATCTTGTAAGTGGTAACTACAATAAATAATAGTAAAGTGTAGAAGTTTTTGTTAAATTCGGTTAAGTGGTTTACAAGTTATAGGCTTTTTAAAAAACATTAAAATACAACATTCAACTTTGATTGCGAATTACTCGGTTGTTAATTAACCGATTTGAATTTTTTCTTCACTAAAATAAAAACAATTTTATTATTTATATCATATCCAAAATTTGTTTATTTATCTAAATTATTTCTCATACTTTTTGGTATTTTTGTTTCAATATCCAAATAAATTTTTAAAAGTGCTGCCATCTGTTTGCGAACAGTAAAAGTACTCAAATATAATAGCTTAGGGTATAATAGGCGGAGCTTAACTTCATTTTTTTCTATATTATTTATTCTTAATGTTTAAATATAAAAAAAATAAATATAAAAAATTAAATTATAGAAATCGTACTAAAAAAACAATCTAACAAAACGCGTTACAATAAATATTATTGTTAACAACATTTTCTAATGTAAATATTTATTTACCAGTTGATTAAATTAAGAGAAACGCATTTTTTCAACGCGATGTTCGTAAAAGTGTGTAAACTCTGTGCAAAAAAGTAAAAAGTCGCATTAAAAGTGGCACACATTTCATTTATGCAACATGCGAACCTGCGGGCTTGGATTACTCTTGTTACATTTGTGTTACTTGTCTACTCACCGACTTGAATTTCTCATTTCAATACAGCTCAGTTTTCACTTTGTTTCTTTATAAAATAAAAATTAAGTTAGGTTAAAAGTAAAAATTTTGACCAGTAACGCCATCTATTTGTCAAATTAAATAAATTAAAATATTTTAAGCTAAATAGAAAGCATTTTCATGTTATTTTTATAAATAATACAAAATATTTATATCCTTCATTAAACAGTTTCTTAAAGTTTTTTAATAATTACGAAATGTTTAAATTTATTAATGCATAAATTGAAATCATAATCATAAAAATATTGCGTCGAAATAATTTCTAAATTTTATATTCGGTTGTACGCGTACGTAAACGTGTACATATTGGGTAATATAATATCTTTCTTAATTAGGCATGCAATAAATATTAACGAGTATATTAAAATGTTAATACTTACACCACTTCCGCAGAAAACTGCTCGACAGCTTCGACCACAACTTTTCCTTGCCCTTCATGCTGAGTGTGTGCGGTTGTTAGGTTAACAGGTATGTCACGAAAACGTTCTCACAGGATTCACTGTTTTTATTCCATCAGAAAATGATCTGAAACAAAACAAAAACAATGTTTATATATACATGGGAACCGGCCATCTAGTGGCAATGGAAACAAACGAAGATGACACATTTGTTTGTGTCAACAAAATTCTTCCACGTAGCAACCACCTTTTAAAAACTTGACTCATGTGTTGATCACTATTGTTTTTTTGTTTATTAGTTTCGAGGTGTGTCGCATTTCATTGACTTTTGACTCCAATCTGATTATGATTATTATGTTTGTACTGAGAATTAAAACGGAGAAATAAACAAATAAATGCACATCGCATGTTGTTATCAGAAAAGTTACTTTGTTTGCAAAGCGTGAGGATGATTTGTTTTTGTTTTGTTGAAGATGTTTGTTGTTTGCGCATGGCTTCATTTCGTATGCAAGGCACGTGCATTCAATTTTACAATTTTCTGCGTAGTTATGCGTATTTTGTTCATTCATGTTTATCTCCTGGGAATCTGTGACTTATTTAGGTTTTCGTATGGAATTATTGCGACATCTATGGTTTGGATTTTGGAAAGTGTGTTGAGTTGCATAAGATACAATGTTACCAGAAAGTAAAAATCATGCAAAATGAAACTGTTTAGTAAATGTGCTGTAACTTTTGAATTAATATATGGATTTAATTCAAATTTTGTATGTATGAAGTATATTAAATTTAGGTTATGTTAGGAAAAAATCAGAATAATCTCGTTAAAGATGTTTAATTTATTGGTATTTTTGACAAAAATGTAAAAACAAAAAATGCAATTTTTAATAAAAGTATCAATAACTCAAAAGATAATAAATATATTGGCTTGAAATTTGGTGAATATAAACTACAGTTAACAATAGTAAATTGTACAAATTTTTGTTAAATATACTTAAGTAGTTTTAAAGTTATTCACGTTTGAAAAATATCAAAAAGTATTAAATTTCAAATTACAACATGCAACTTTGATTGCTAATTACTCTGTTGTTAATTGACTTTTTCAATGTTTTTCTTCTGTAAAATATTAAGAATTTAATTGTTTATAACATATCCAAAATTCAAGAACTTCCAAAAATTATTTCCTAATCATTATTCAAATTAAACAAAAATTATTTCATTTTTTCGAAATCATTACCAAAAAATAATAAAAATATCTGCAATAACCACGCTATTATTAATAATTATACATTTGTTATTCATGAAATAGTGTTGTTCCTAACACGCATGTGACAAAACTTGGTTATCTGATCGTTTTGTGCACAATTGTTTGTTTTATCAATCGCATCATTCGCGCACGGCTGATTGTCGCGTCCTCAACATTAAACATTCAACAATAATAATGCCGTCAGCTCACGCTACACATTTTCAATGCCATTCTCTGATGGTTAACAAAATCTACAACTCTTGACTGTGATCGTTCGCTATTTTTGCGCGTGTGTGGCGTGCGCATAATTCAACTCTGCTCCTTTAAGTGTGCTGATAAATTACCTGCTCTAATAAAGTGCACTTATTAAAATAATACCGTCGACGTAAGCGAATTTATTGCACACAATAAATACGTGCGCATGTTGGAAATAAAAGTCTAGCTGGTTTTATGATCGTGTGTGCAATTTCGGTTTGAATATTCAAGTATTTGTAAACTTTGTACAACGTGTTATAGTAGCTGGAAATAAAATTGCAAATGTTTTAGTTTTTAATTAATTATTCAAAAACTATCTAAGGTATTACAATGATTTTTGCAAAGTGAATTCCTAAGTAAATTCCACGGATAATTGTGTAAATAATTTATTAATCAGATTATTGCATAAAAAGTTGTTAACAATTAAAATTAGAATTTGAACAAATAATATGCAAATTACAAATTCGTCAATATCTTTTGATAAATAATAAATTTCGATACCAATTAAACACATTTCGATGCAGAATTTATTACTGCACACATCGTTGAAAAAATAATCACGATAAGTTAATTAGTTAAAGAGTTATCAATGAAAAACTATGAGTAATCTACTAATTTGCATTAGGCGCAATACAGCTACATAACAGGAATGTATTTGAGTTTAAGTAGTTGTTTAAACAAGTAATTTGATAGCAAACATGACAAAATCATGCGATTGGCATACGATATGTTTATGGAGATAGCATAGTTTATTATTATAGAGCCAAACAGTAAGATTTTATTACAAATATCAACGTTTGAAATATTTCTAGGCTCAAACCAGTTTCAGAGAATCATTTTTTTAATGTCTCAACTTTGCTTGCTAATAAGTTCTATAATTTTTATCAGAACTTGTTAAAATTTATAACGTACATTCTCCATCTAATAATTTATAATCCTACCAAATTTGGTTATTGTAAAATTAATACTTTTTATTTTATTTAACTTTTTCTAAAAAATAACATTTTATGCTTTCAGGGTGTTTATATTAATGTTAAATTTTAATGTAAAATTATTATTAAAATTAAATTTAAAATATAAGAAATGATATACATTCAAAAAACGTTTCACTCATTGGAGGCCACCACAACGAAGACGTTTTGAATGAGAACGAAAACGAAAAAGAAAGTTGCGCGTAAAAGTTTCGCGGGCTTTATTGAATTCCTCAGCGATTACGTACTAAACATTTAGCATTAAACATTAAACAAAATCAAGTTTCCAGTGAATATCGGTAACATATGTTTTAAACATTAAAAAGTTATAAAATTTTAATCGATCACGATTAACTAATATAAATTTATAGCATATATCAACTTTTAATAACTATTGCACCATTTTTTTCTTATTTTTTTAAAGAAATAAGTACTGAAAGTCTTGTTTCTTGAGTCAATTTGATTCGCAATTTATATGTAAAGGTATAATATTTGCGTGGAATGCTATAAATGCAGTTTAACGCCATCTAGATGTGAATTACATAACAATAACTATGATTAAATCTACATAACAACTTTCATCCCTTATTTTACACCCTTCCAGTAGGATTTTTGCGACAAAAAGTAGTCTATTTCTTTTTCCATAGACAAAAATATATCTCTACCAAACTTTATCAAAATTAGTTGAGTGGTTTAGGCGTGAAAGCGTCACAAACATACAAACAAACTAAAATTCGCATTTATAATGGTACTTAGGATGTTGAATGCATAAAACATTTAATCTCATTGTAGTAATTACAGTTTTTATGCAATTCTGCATTGATTGAAATTGGTATTGCATATTTTACTCTTTCTGCATCTTCATCAACGCGTAGTGAACTCTGAAGAACTCCGAAGTGATTTGCTCAATCAGGCAATCAGGAAGAACTTTCTATTCGGTATTCGGTGAGCACCGAGTACGTCACGTCCAACGTCGACATCGTCTTCACAGCAAATAACACTGACTTAAGTCACATACACACACATTCCTACCTATAATAAATATCACATTTTTGCATATTTCTATATTCTATTCTTCTAATCACCAACACACATCAGCCAAGTAAACTTAAGAAGTGACTTAAGTCACATTATATTAGATGTGTGCGTTAGAAAATTGAATTTATAATTGACTTAAGTGACGTAACGTCCATAACTCTTTGTTCTTTCATCCGAGGCTATGACTCGACATTTCAGTAGAAAATCGTTTTCCTTTCCGTTACACCAGACTTTAAGACTTAAGATGCAGACTTAAGTCACATGCGTCTCAAGGATTGATAATAATTAACATGCGAGTTGATTACTTATATGGTTAAGAGCATAAATTGTGTATGAATGTGATGCATTTTGACGTTGACTCATCGAGTTGCTACATTTCAGCGGAATTTATTTTAATGATTAGGTTTATTAGAATGTCTGGAATACTCACGCAATCTGTCAGAAATGGATAATATTTGCATCTATATTTAACTGATTCAGCTATTAGTCATTTATTACTTGTAAAAAATGATTTGAAGTTCAAAAATGACTAATTTTAATAAATTTTTAGAAAAAAATTACTAAAATTCAAATTAGAAGAAATTCATTAAAGATATGGAGAAATTTCTTTATGTAGATGATAAGCAGACTAATGATAAATATTTTTATGAAAATCTTAGTAAAATATTTCAATAAACTCCTTAGATATTGACAAAAAAAAAGTTTAAAAAAATAATAAAACTATATTTTCAATTTATAACCTAAAATAACCTCAAAACTAATAACAAAAACTTAAATTTTACAATTTTATTATAAACTATAACTTATTTTAAATACATTTTGAATTTTTGATAAATTTTCTGCAGAAAACCGCGCCACAATACAAATTATTTCGCAAAAAATACAAAAAACAAAATATTCACTTTAACACCTGATAATAGCAAAAGTATTACTGATAACATAATTGTCTCACTTGGATATGATAGAGAATTTATTGGAGAATATGCCACCAAATTTTTGTAGAAATCGATCGAATACTTTGTTAATTATAAATGAAAATATACAATTAATCATATGGCAATTTATATTTCAAATTATAATTTGATTTTTTCTAATTTTCTTTGAAAAACTTTCCATTCTTTATAATTTTCCGCTTGTCATTCAATCCAACATTGTTCTCCATTAAATTTCGTATAAACTTTCACCGGTTTCATTCATTTTCCTCGCAGGACAACAGCGTAATCACGCTGTAAAGTCAAAGTGACTTAACTTTTTTCATAACTGACTTAACTTAACTTCACATCAATAAGTATAAGGTAATAAGTACGTAAATTTATAAAAATCACGTTTGCGACTAAAAACAATCTAAAATAATGTCACGTAGAGTATAAATATTGGCGACTTATAAAAAACTGACTTAAGAAGCGAGTTGGTGTAAAAAACAACTCACGGAATGAAAATAAAATACAAAAAAGAAGATGCGAGAAATGCGGCGGCACAGCGGCTCGATTACAAACCGCGCTTAACTTAAGTCTTAAGACTTAAGTCATGTTGTATAGTAGGCTCACTTTGCCACGCTCTGCGTTCGCGAATGGAGGTCAACGCATGTGTGTGCCATCGCCATCGTGCCATCCAAGACTTAACTTAAGTCAAGACTCGTAGAAATTCGTTATTCTGTATTTACCTGTTGGACTGTGAACTTTTTGATACTCCAAAAATCCCCAAAATGTCACTGAACACTTAAGTATGTTTTCACCACTGAACCGACTTAAGTCAAGGTAAAAAATTAAAAAAATCAAACCGACTTAACTAGTTTATAATCAATATTTATTCCTAGTGAGTTGTTATGTTTGCGATTGTTATAAAATACGTTTATTGAAGTGACTCAAGTTAAGTCAACTTTTTTGACCGAGCGTTGCAACGTCCGGCTGGACACTGACTCGCATCGACGATTCGACGGTGCGCGCGAGCTGCTGGCGACGATGGCGATGGACTGGTTAAGAATCCTACCACCGCACTCACCCATCACCCACCTTCTTGCACCTTGCTTCGAGTGTGCGGTCTGTGCCATCGCTCGAAAGTCGAAACAACCAGCAGATACTGCCAACTTAAGTATGGTGAAGTTTAGTAACACACTAGAAAACAAAAGTTACTTAAGTCACTTAAACTATGACTTAAGTCACTTTAATTTTTTTGTGTTAAACAGACTTAAGTCACTTTTTCAGTCAAATTTTTCATTATTTTGTTTTGTATTTTGTCGAAATGATTAATACTTAAGTTACTTATGGGTTACTAAGTCAGTAAGTGGTACGATATTGTTGAATAACTGAACTGTGCGTAAATCGGTCACCTTTTAACGCAACAACTGCAAAATGACCAGGCCAGCGCACATGTGTAGCTGTAAACTTTAAACGCAGACAAACGCTGAGCTGGCTTTACACAAGTGGCTTGTTTTAAGTCAACATGGCGCAAATGAGCAAGGCATACAAGAATATCCGTACGTTTAGTCACTACAGGTGAGCTATGCGTATTCATGTGATTAGGGTAACGCAATTTTTTGGGAATTTGATTGTTAGCAATAGACTGGCAATTTTTTATTACTAATATGACTTAAGTCATGTTTTGAACATGATAAGGCAACAAAATTTCTTAATTTAGAAAAATTATAGGTTTAAAACGTTGTAACTCGAAAAGTTCTTGATGAAATTCAAAAATTTAAATTGTTCCTGATGTAGAAATTTGTAGTGTATGATATTTGTAAATATTATAAATATATACCGAGTGATACAACAATTATAGAGGAATTATTAAAGTTTTTGCAAAATTATTTTTGGACGGAATTTAAGAAATGTGATTTTGAATAGAATTAATTGAAATATCAACATAAAATTGGTTAAAAAAGATTAAAAAATATTTCTATACAGGGTGATCCACAATTTATTAATCAGAAAATATTGTTTTAATATTTATTTTAAAAAGTTTCCAAATTTTAAATTTGTGAAATGTATTCTGCTTCGCAATTATATAAAATATATTTTACATTCTCTGAAATGCATGTGACACCAAATACGAAATCTAGGAATAAAAATTTCTGCGCCAAATTAGAGTAAAAGTACAATAACCAAGCGTCACCTCTGCTGAGACCGGCGAGAGTAATTAAGCAATTAAATAATTACGACCCACTTGAGATTTATCCAACACGCACTTTAAAAGCCGCCAATAAAAAAAATTAAAGTATGTGGACCAAACAATAATAACCATTTTTGTGCACTATTTTATGTGTAATTAAACTTTTTTAATAGTAGAAAACAAAAAAAACACCATTTTGAATTTTGCTTCGATGTTTTATTGTAACTTTGTAAATACTTGGAATATTTTAATTATATTTTTATCAAACGATTAAGAATTAAACAATAAATTCATTTTTTGTCTTAAAATTGATGTATCTTTATTAGTCTGTCTTTAATTTATCATCAAAGTTGACAGAATTTAATATTTGTAACCAAAATTCTCATTATTTTTGTTTTTGCCTGTAACTTTTACAATAATCAATATATTTAAACAAAAATTGTTAAAATTATTAAAAAGTTATTATTCTCTAAATAGCAATAAATTAAAATTGTCTATGTACTTAAATTTTTAGATTATTAGCTCTTGTCTATGATTTTGTGTGGGTAAATATTATTAAAAAGTAGTTTTACTGAATATTTTCTTGCTGCATTGACTTTATATTTACGGAATTGGTCAATAAAAATTATTAACTATATTTTAAAGAAATAAGAGATGCTAAATATGTACTTTAACGCCATCTTACAACAAATTATCTAACTATAACCATGATTAAACCTTCGTAACAATATTCATTGCTTTTTTACACCATTCGAATTAAATTTTTGCATCAAAAACTAGTCTATAATCCATTCCTAAACTAAACGTATTTTCATACCAAAATTCATCAAAATCTGTGAAATAGTTATCACGTGAAAGCATAACAAATAAACAAACACACTCCCATTTGCATTTATAATATTATCCAATGACAAATTTGACACATATATACTGCGTGCTACAAAACATTACAAACACCTCTAAATATTTATAATAAACTCATCTCAAAACACTTTTAATTCCTATAAAACACAATTCGTGCTGTTTTTATTATTGTTCATGGAAAAACACATTGACACGCATGTAACACATAATAAAATTACGCGAGTGTGATTACGTGCGCACAGGTTTGAGATAATTGCGGTTTGTTACTTGTTGCTCGTTGTTTGCCGACGAAAATGCATTACTCTCATATTACTTAACAGGGCGCGCGGCAGGTACGAGTATAACTATATGAACGTATCTTTATACGAATATGAATAATCTGCGATATGTAACGTGTGTAACATGTTACGTTTTGCATCACATCATAGGATAGAGTAGAGTCTGCAGTCTGCAGATTAGCTTAAGGAGTTCAAAGAGAAAAGTCAACATAACATGACTTAAGTCATGAAAGACACTCACTAAGGCTTAAGTAATGAGATATTTACAATACAACAACGTGAATATTCCATAATTTTCAAAACGCTGTATTTCCTAAAATAATGAAGGTATTAAAACAAACCAAGCGGGATTTTATAGAAGAGAACTGATACTTTTTAATGGTATTGATGGCGTTGGAGTAACTTACTTAACCTTACTGATATGGCGGTTTAAACAGGATGTTGGTTATGTTTTATTTTTAAAAGTTTAAAAATGGTCTAAAATAGATAAGAATTATATGAGGATTATAATGATTACGTATGTATTTCTATTTTGTACAGTATTTTGACTGTATCGAATGTGAGTTAAGTAGACGGATCATTCGATTACGTGTTCGTCTTACTTTCATCTCGACTGTCGCTTTTTTGCTGTTTTTGCTGCTTTTCCATCTCCAACGACAGTTTCATTAGTTTATGCAGGAAGATTTACGGCATTTGGCTTACGACTTATGCTACTACGTGCATAATACATAACAAGTGCCGTTTCACGTTTCCTTTTCAAAGAAATTACTATTTCTTAACATTTTTGGGGAAAAATATTAAAATCGGAACTTTAAACGTAAATAACTCTAAAAGTTTTTGATAAAATTTTAAACTCTAAACTGTATTCTATAGATGAATATTTCGTTTATATTTAAGGATGTTTTTATTAAAATATACAAAGTGATACAAGAATTACATGCATTATTCTGCAGCACTTTCTTTTTCGAAGAATTTCATTCAATGCTGGAGCAAGGCTATTTTAAACACGAATAACTCAAAAAGTTGTTTGCAAAATTTAATAATTTTGACGGTATTCCATAGTTGAATATTTTGTTTATGTTTGCGAAAGTTTTTATTATAATATACTAGGTGATACAAAAATTACAAGCATATTTCCACAACACTTATTTTTCAAAGAATTTCATTCAATACTTCCACAAGACAACTTTAAACATGAATAACTCAAAAAGTTTTTAGAGAATCTTTAAAATTTAAATATTAATGTATAGATAAATACTTCGTTTATATCTGTTGATGTTTTTGTTATAATATACTGAGTGATACAAGAATTACACGCATTATTCCACAACACTTTCTTTTTCGAAGAATTTCATTCAATGCTTGAGCAAGACATTAAATAGCTGACATTATAAATGATTGCGAATTAATGCGAAAGTCGTTAATACTATATTAATATGTCGAACGTCACAAAGACTCCTCGTGTGCATATAATGAGCCAATCAGTAATCGCCGCAGATACGAATCGTCGCACTCGCGCCCGCAAACGCCGGCGTCGCCACTACAAATCGCTGTTAATTCGACTCAATTCGTGATTATCAACGTCATTGGGTCTTGGAGTGGAAATTTTCGACCAGATTGTGCATTAATGAGTTCACCACGCCGGATAATCGCACGGCAATCATAAGCAGGAACTAATTGGTGGGCGATGCGACCGAGGACACGTAGACCGCTGACAAAGACGCGCGGGTGACTTAAGTCGGAAATGGATTTGCATTGTTGCATACGTAGAGTATGGAGAAGAATAGAAAGTTAGAAAAAATTATAGAGAAAATCTAAAAATAGTTATTTTTTTAATGAAAGAGATAAAAACAACTTTAAAGGTGAATTATAGACGAAGTAATTATAAAAATGAATTTTTGATAATTGTCGATTGTAGAGTAGTTAATTATTATCAAAGTGTGAAAATATTGTTAACAAATATTCAGTTTTTAGTATTTATATCATTTTTAACAAAATAAAACATAAATTTCTCACTTTTGTGGTGACATAAAATTAAATACAACTTTAATTTGCAATAACAAACAAACTAATTAACAAAAACAAATTTTGTAAACTACTATTTATAGAATAATAACTTCTTAATAATCTGTATAATTTTTATTGAAATATGTTGAATGTTGTAAAAGTTATAGTAAAAAAACTAAAATATTGATAATTCTGAATTTTCAATTCCAAATAATAATTTGTATCAACTTTGTGGATAAATAAACCATGAATCAAAGGAGCTAAATAATTTTTTCGATGAAAAATGTATAAATTGGTTAATTGTTAATCATTGTATGAAAAAATAATAAAAATATACCGAGTGTTTTAAAAGTTATAATAAAAAAACCAAAAATAAACTTTTTTGATTAATTTCGATAATCATTTAACATTTCCTTGATTTACTCGTACTCTCCACTCGTACTCATTGATGATTTATTATTATAATTAACAAAAATTTCAATTTATGTGTTTTGCTTATCAGAGAGTTATGATCCATGATTATAGGAAATGGTCATCTATGCGGATGTTGCGTCTAATGAAGCGAAAAAGCGCACGTAATCGCAGACCGGGCGGAAACTGTAATGAAGTCGAATGACTCGGACCATACCAAAAACGTAATCAATGGCTTATACGAATAAAATCCACAACTAGAAATATTCACAGCCAAAAATATCAGAGACAGTCACAACTTGTTTGAATCGCTCGAGCATTATGTAGCAGCG